TGTTTCTAAATATAGAAATATTTTAACTTCACCAAATGTTATTACTTTTATTTTAGAATATATTTTATCTGATTAATGTTTTGTGGTACGTTAAATAATGACTGTACCCGTTAACCGTATCTGGAGTGTTGTGGTGGGACGTTAATTGAGGGAATGCAGATTCTCAAGTGCTGCGACCTACGGGAATCCCGCAGTTACCTCAGAACGGCAGTAGGGGGCGGACGTGAGATTCTGCCGTCTGAAGTTAAACCGTATTTTTCCGTGAGAAGTAAAAATGTGTTACGCATTATTTTAAATTACTTGTGAAATTATTTAGGTAGTAAGCGCTTAGTTAGGCTTTTAATGATTATTTTCCCGTGTTTTAATAGGAGTGTGAGTGACGCCGTTTGATAATTAGCTTGTTGATTGTCAGGTACAGCAGTTAACCTTTTTAATCAGGAATCTTTTATTCCTGCTTGTGGTTTGATCATTTAATCTAACGTGTGATACTAATGTGATTTATCACGTTTTTTTGTTTTTAACTCTACGGATATTTCTTCCTTTCGCAGTTATGTCTCCCGTCTCCTTTTACATGGTTATTATATAGCCTATGCTGAATTAATCTAATCGTGTTAATTATGTTCATTTACATTACAGTGTATTTATTTAATTGTATTACATGATTTATGTTACTCAGTTACCTCAGTTACGCTTTGAGCAGCACTAAACCAAGACAGTAATGGGATACATTAGGAAGCTTTCATGTCAGTGTACATGTAGCAAATACAATATATAGACAGAAATGTATAAATGTACACATAAGGGGAGAGGAAAAGCCCCCCAATCATCAGGATTACATTTCATTACATTTTAATCAGAAACAAATAAACGTATTTTACGTTTGTGCAGCTGGCTGAACCCAATCATTTATTTTAATCTAATTTATGTCTCACTTCAGACAGAGTAAAAAGGGTTATACTGGTTAAAAAGCAGATATTTTACCTTTTTGCCATGGAGAGGCAGCGACATGTGACACTCTGATAAGGTAAAAATGATTCCTCCAGCACACAGTGAGCTATCCCAGCATGCACAGGGACATGGAGGTGTTTATAGGAACCCTAAACCCTGGGCAGAGGGGTTCAGTGAATGAGGAGGTGAAGCTGTACAGGAGGGTCAGTCCATCAGAGGAGACTCTGTAGAAGGACAGAGTACCAGCCGCCCAGTCCAGATACACTCCTACTCTGCAAGAACCAGAGGGCTTTATGGGTATGACAGTCTGTTTATTATTGTGACAGACAGAGTAACTGTCAGGAGAGCAGCGCAGCATCCATGACTTGTAATTGAATCCAAGACGACAGTCATCACTCCTTCCTTTCCTCCCGATTCCTTTATAAGTCACTGCTATCAGGGTCCCATCTCCACTCCACTCAGCCTCCCAGTAACAGCGACCAGTCAGACTCTCTCTGCACAGAACTTGCCTCCAGTAGTCAAATCTCTCTGGATGATCAGGATATGGCTGCTTTACCCCCCCTGTCACCTTCCTGTTCCTCTCTGACAGACACAGCTCTCTGTGTGCTGTGTTGGGGTCCAGCGTCAGCTGGCAGGAGTCTGTAGGCAAGAGGAAGAGCGATTAATCGATTAATCCCACATGAAATATGAAATTGTACCCAACGAGTACCAGTATAAGTTAATTTGGCTTTGCTGCAAAATAAGAATTTGCATCAAACCACTTCGGACACATGCCTCCCTCCAGCAGCGTTCAGCGCCGACTAGTGACGTGTCGGTCGCGAAGGAGCCGTTCAAAAGATCCGGCTCCTGACCGAGAGACATTTTTATAAAGCAAAAGGGCTCCGCGGCTCAGCGCTCCACACTGCTCTGACTGTGACTGAAGTCTGTGTTAATGGCGTGTGAGCCGCGCGACCAATCACGTGATGAGTCAGACAAGGTTCATACCATCAGGTTAAACGTAGGGAGGGGCGGGGGTGCGCGTGCTGACGGTGTACAGGTACAGAGCAGGAGGAGAGGAGAGGAGGAGAGAAAGAGAGGGAGTGTGGTGCGCGATTAGTAGGTAAGATGAGTGACAACGGAAACGAAGCGACATTTGGATGCATTTTAATAGCTATGATAACTCAAAGGCAGAATGCACAGTTTGAAGATGAAGCTGTCATTCCGAGCAGGGTCCACAAGCAACCTTCTCAGACACTTAAGAACTGCACATCCAATAGTTCAGATGGAAGAAAAAAGACAGGCTAGCATGCCTGCTACTGCCAGAAGCCGGATCA